TAGACCACAGGATGATGAGTTAGACCACAGGATGATGAGGTAGACCACAGGATGATGAGTTAGACCACAGGATGATGAGTTAGACTACAGGATGATGAGTTAGACCACAGGATGATTAGTTAGACCACAGGATGATGAAGTAGACCACAGGATGATGAGCTAGACCTCATGATGATGAGTTAGACCACACGATGATGAAGCAGACCACAGGATGATGAGTTAGACCACAAGATGATGAGTTAGGCTGGTACTCGTCTGGTGACTTGTGGTGCTCATTTAACTGTGTCTAACTAATTTGTTATATAATGGGAATAACATAAGATAAATCTTAAAGTATGCATGTCTAATGTCATCTCAATTGACAAACTAAATTGTTCTGTTTATTTGAGTTATAATAAGGAATTCTAATGCCACTACTTTTGTATATAACGCGGTTTTGTGACGGCTTAAAATGGAACGTTTTCTGTTAACTTTCACTCTGAAAGCGGAGTCCGTGGTGGGCCGCTTAAGTAAATTTAAACTCCTTCCATGTTTAGCTTTATTGAACACTACATGAGATTTCTTTAGATTTTTCCAGTTACTCGCAGTTTTAATCTAAATATTTCAGGGGTTAAAGTTTTAAGACTGGATTTCTTACAGCTCCAATACTGGTTAAATCATTTGGCAATAAACCACCTTTGAAAATGCATTAAAAATTTGTTAATTTTTAAGGCTTTTAGTTGAGCTAAAAACATGTTTTGTTGCAGAACACACCGACTTTTTAGAGCAGAATCACACATCACCCCTGTTTAAGTCATTTATGTACAGTATGTGTGACTGATCCGGTGTTGGAGGGGATTTTGTTCCATGTTAATTTTTTTCTCTTTTTTTTGTGTGTGTGTTCAAAAACAAATCTTAATATTTTGACTTTGATTTTATAAAAAGCTATTTATAGCAAAAATCAATATTTTCATGTCTTTTTCACAGCATTCTGTGCTTTTTTCGACTCAATTTGCCAATACATATTTATTTTACATGCAACTGAAATTTTGCTTTATCCTAGTTAAAAAAAACATAAGGTGAATTTGTACAGTGATATTTGAAGTTTTAATTATATGACTAATAATAAACACGGCCAACAAGATTAACCATGTTCTTGTTTGTAAAATATGAATATGAACCCACAGTAAGCTGGTGAAAATTCTCAGTCATCCAGGACATGATAAATTCAAAAAACGTTCAATACAAAAACTACTGGACTTTATTTGTAACAGAAGACGTTTTGCTCCTCATCCGAGGAGCTTTCTCAATTTAATGAGCAGTGAGTGAGAGATTCAGGTTATAAGGCTGAGTGAGATAAGACACACACACATATATGTACAAATCTACATATATGTAGCAGTTTATCCTCAGGTGTGGTGCCAAAGACTTTTAAACATGCTGCTGTCCAGCCCCTCCTGAAAAAACCTAACCTTGACCCCTCAGTCATGTCCAACTTCCGGCCTGTCTCCAGACTCCCATTCACCTCTAAACTACTGGAAAAAATTGTGGAGTCTCAGTTGAAACAGTTTTTGGGGGATCACGCTATCCTTGAGTTATTCCAATCTGGCTTCAAATCTCTCCATAGCACTGAAACTGCTCTACTGAAGGTTTTTAATGACATTTTCATATCCACAGACGCAGGTGATTCTGTGCTGCTTGTCCTATTGGACCTTACATCTGCTTTTGACACCATCGACCACAATATCCTCATTTCTAGACTGGAGCAGTGGGTGGGCATCACAGGGTCAGCCCTTAAATGGTTTGGGTCCTACCTCTCTGACATAACCTTCTGTGTCAATATCAAAGATTTTAGTTCGGCATCAACCACACTCCAGTGGGGGGTACCGCAGGGGTCCATCCTCGGTCCTCTTCTCTTTTCTTTATACCTGCTGCCACTAGGTGCTATCTTCCGCAAACACGACATACCCTTTCATTTCTATGCCGATGATTGCCAAATTTACTTCCCCCTGAGGCACAGAGGCACACGCTCTATTCAGCCTCTTCTTGACTGCCTGGCTGACATCCGGGACTGGATGGCTTTAAACTTCTTAAGCTTCAATGAGAAGAAGTCTGAAGTCATGCTGTTCCATCCCAGTGGCTCACTCATGAACCATGACATTGACCTTTTCTCTCTAGCCCCGCTAGAGAAACAAAAGGTGACTAATCTGGGGGTGATAATGGACCCGTCCTTAAAACTCAACAGTCACGTAAACATGATGGTCAAATCCTGTTTTTTTCAGCTGAGACGGCTGTCTAAGCTGAAGCCTATACTCTCCAAAAAGAACCTCGAGACAGTGATCCATGCCTTCATAACATCTAGGCTTGATTACTGCAATTCACTTCTGTTTGGAATCAGTCAGTCCTCCATTGCTCGTCTACAACTGGTCCAAAATGCTGCAGCCCGATTTTTAACTGGTACAGGCTATAGAGAGCACATCACGCCAGTTTTGGCCTCCCTGCAATGGCTACCCATTCACCTTCGGATCCATTTCAAAATTCTCATGTATGTTTTTAAATCACTGAACAGTTCCGCCCCATCCTATCTCACTGATCTTCTGCAGCCATATGTCCCACCGCGCTCTCTGAGGTCAGCAGACCAGATGCTTCTCTCAGTCCCAGAAACCCGTCGTAAGCTCAGAGGTGACAGGGCTTTCTCTGTTGCAGGTCCACGACTGTGGAATGAGTTGCCACTGAGTGTCCGGCAGGCTCCCACACTCTCAGTCTTTAAGTCTCGCTTGAAGACCCACTTCTATTCGCTTGCCTTTAACACGGTGTGATTTGTTTTGGTCCGGTCTGTTCTCTACTCTGTTGGCCATTTTAGTAAGCTTCTGCTGCTATTTGTATCTGTATTTCTATTTTATGTTTTCCTGTCTGCTGTGCATGTTTGTGTTCTTTTGTACAGCACTTTGGTTGGCCTTGTTGCTGTTTTAAGTGCTATATAAATAAATTGGTATGGTATGGTATGGTATGGTATGGTATGGTATGGTATGGTATATATGTGTGTGTCTTATCTCACTCAGCCTTATAACCTGAATCTCTCACTCACTGCTCATTGAATTGAGAAAAGCTCCTCGGATGAGGATCGAAACGTCTTCTGTTACAAATAAAGTCCAGTTGTTTTTGTATTGAACGTTTTGTTTTTTTTGAACCCACAGTAATGACTCAGTCAAAGAATGATATAAAGACTGATAATTACTGGGCTGTGACAAAAGAAGCATCATGTTGGGTAATTTTTGTCTATTTCAGGTATTTCACCTTCCCATATGAGGAAATGACTTTTGAGCAAGAGCTGGAGCTGCTGGACCATCCAGACAAGATTTGCCACTTCTTGGCTCACAACGGTTGGGTGATGGGTGATGATCCACTACGCAACTTTGCTGAACCAGGTAGAACATGAAAAAGCATTGATACTAGATGAAAAATGGTTTCATACAGCTGCATTTTAATGTAACTCAAGTTTGTATGTGATTTAAAAACCTATTAATCCTTGCCCCAATAATAAAATGTATGTTTTCTTTATAGGCTCAAATGTGTACTTGCGTCGGGAGCTGATCTGCTGGGGTGACAGTGTCAAACTTCGCTATGGCAATGGCCCTGAAGATTGTCCATACCTGTGGGACCACATGCGAAAATACACTGAAACCACAGCTAAATGTTTCCATGGGGTCAGACTGGATAACTGCCACTCTACACCTTTACATGTTGCTGAGGTATTGTCACACATTACCATTTTTACAATGAAGAAGAACAAAAATAAGAACATTTGTTTTCATAATGGAAAAAGTCTGCTCCTCTGATAAATACTATACAGGTCCTTCTCAAAATATTAGCATATTGTGATAAAGGTTATTATTTTCCATAATGTAATGATAAAAATTAAACTTTCATATATTTCAGATTCATTGCACACCAACTGAAATATTTCAGGTCTTTAATTGTTTTAATACTGATGATTATGGCATACAGCTCATGAAAACCCAAAATGCCTGTCCCAAAAAATTAGCATATCATGAAAAGGTTCTCTGAACAAGCTATTAACCTAACCATCTGAATCAACAAAGTAACTCTAAACACCTGCAAAAGATTCCTGAGGCTTTTAAAAACTCCCAGCCTTGTTCATTACTCAAAACCACAATCATGGGTAAGACTGCCGACCTGACTGCTGTCCAGAAGGCCATCATTGACACCCTCAAGCAAGAGGGTAAGACACAGAAAGAAATTGCTGAACGAATAGTCTGTTCCCAGAGTGCTGTATCAAGGCACCTCAGTGGGAAGTCTGTGGGAAGGGAAAAGTGTGGCAGAAAACGCTGCACAACGAGGAGAGGTGACCGGACCCTGAGGAGGATTGTGGAGAAGGGCCGATTCCAGCCCTTGGGGGACCTGCGGAAGCAGTGGACTGAGTCTGGAGTAGAAACATCCAGAGCCACCGTGCACAGGCGTGTGCAGGTAATGGGCTACAGTGCCGCATTCCCCAGGTCAAGCCACTCTTGAACAAGAGACTGCGTCAGAAGCATCTCGCCTGGGACTGCTGCTTAGTGGTCCAAAGTTATGTTCTCTGATTACAGTAAATTTTGCATTTCCTTTGGAAATCAAGGTCCCAGAGTCTGGAGGAAGAGAGGAGACACAGAGTTCACATTGCTTGAGGTCCAGTGTCAAGTTTCCACAGTCACTGGGGTGTCATGTCATCTGCTGGTGTTGGTCCACTGTGTTTTATCAAGGACAGGGTCAATGCAGCTAGCTATCAGGAGATTTTGGAGCACTTCATGCTTCCATCTGCTGAAAAACTTTATGGAGATGAAGATTTCATTTTTCAGCACGACCTGGCACCTGCTCACAGTGCCAAAACCACTGTTAAATGGTTTACTGACCATGGTATTACTGTGCTCAATTGGCCTGCCAACTCTCCTGACCTGAACCCCATAGAGACCCTGTGGGATATTGTGAAGAGAAAGTTGAGAGACGCAAGACCCAACACTCTGGATGAGCTTAAGGCTGCTATCGAAGCATCCTGGGCCTCCATAACACCTCAGCAGTGCCACAGGCTGATTGCCTCCATGCCACGCTGCATTGAAGCAGTCATTCATGCAAAAGGATTCCCAACCAAGTATTGAGTGCATAACTGAACATGATTATTTGAAGTTTGGCATTTTTTGTATTAAAAACACTTGTCTTTCATTGGTGGGATGAAATATGCTAATTTTTGAGACAGGTATTTGGGGTTTTTATGAGCTGTATGCCATAATCATCAGTATTAAAACAATTAAAGACCTGAAATATTTCAGTTGGAGTGCAATGAATCTGAAATATATGAAAGTTTCATTTTCATCATTACATTATGGAAAATAAAGACCTTTATCACAATATGCTAATTTTTTGAGAATGACCTGTATATATATGTATATGTATATATATATATGTATATATATATATATATAT